ATCCCCCCCTGTTATAACAGATACCCCTGTCGAAGTGTCGCGAAGTCTAGGATTTCGCCATTACTGCTGATAGACCCCTGACCCGCGACAATATTATGTTAAAAAAATATTACTAAATAACTTAGCTAGCTATTTATATATAGACATTAGCTATTTATGATCACTAATAGTTTGTTGCTACCTACTAGGTGGTTTTGTGAATTAGAGATTTCTATATGTAATAAACTAAAATTAATTTCCACTAATAGTAATAAAGATTCTTAATATATAATTATAAACAATTTGTTTAATAAAGATCATATATTATACAATTATATAATAAAAAATCTAAAACTTGGATTTAAAATTAAAATAACAGGTAATAATAAAATTTATAGAAAAAATTTAAAGAATATAAATAAATATTATTTCTAATATTCTTGAAATTCAAGAATGATTTTAATAGAAATAATAATAATAATAATAATAATAATAATAATAATAATAATAATAATAATTTTTATATTTAAATATGTATGCAAAGTCATTATAAAATTATTGAATAAAGTTAAGCCTTTGTAATAGGAAAAGTAAAAGATTGGAGTAATAATTTCTTAATCAAATTTATAATTAAAATTAAATACAAGTTATTGAATGAAAAGTTAATTTATTTTACTTAGATCAAGTTCATTTACATCTGAAACCTTCAAAATCTTAATCCTTAAATTAGAGGAGCCGATAAACTTTTGCATTATTTAATTAAAATAAATCAGAAATCTAAATATTATTTACTTTCATATTTCAAATCTTTTTTAATAATTGATATGAGTTAATGTTAATTAAACTTAATAAAAATTTATATAATTTATACGTACTATTTATATCCTAAATTTTATTTTAACTTATTACATTATTCTAATATTATTTATTCTCAATATATTATTTAGTGATGTCATTTTATTATTATTTTCTGCATTTTTTAAATTTATCAAATTCTTATTTTAATATTATCTATTAAATTGATTATTGATTTCTTTTATAGTTGGTCACTCATATTATTTAGGTTTCAAATATGATTTCATTAAATCAGAAAACTCTTTATGTATTATTAAGAACTTTAGGTTTTAATACTCATTAATAGGAGAAGCACGTTCTTGATTGTAATAGTGTTGATTTTGGAATAATTAATATTTCATCATTAATTCTCATAAGAATTCTAAAACCATAAGATCAGATTCTTGAGTATAAAGTAACCGCTCTATGATTTCTGATGCTCTGTAAGTAAATATTCTATGTACGTTGCATTCGTAATTACAGCTGACTTCTTGACATATTTAACTATTTTTTCTTTCCCTGCTCCAATTAACAGACAGTATTTCCAGAACGCAAGTCAAAATGTTAAATCCATTGTTTAATCTATAAAATTATTATTTTTCCATAAAATTATATAAACGAGTTACTAATAAATAATATACTCAGCCATAATACGACATAATTTATACAGTATATCCATGTAATATTTTAAAAATTTAGCCGCAAATACTTTCCAAACATTTCTCTTTAGTATATTACATAACTAAAATAACATTTTCTAAGTTAGGATTCTTAATGTTGCAAAATACATTCTTCTGAATGTATAATTACAAATGATATCAACCATTTGTATTGCTAATGTATAGAGATTATAGGCACGGCCAGGTAACGCGATTTACAAGAGGAAAAAAGAAAAGGAGAAGAGATACAAAAGACCACAACAAAATTAATAAAAAGAAAAAAAGGTTCATGCCGAATCGGAATAAAACCTTCTTTTAATTTTGAAGAGAAAAAACAATCTTTTAATTAAGATTATTCCTTATTTGGTAGTCGATAGATGTTGCCGTAGAGAGTAATTCCCAATAAACTTACCTGATCCGCGAATAGAAGGACAAACCGCAGAAGGAACACAGAGAAGTTTGTCAAGAAAAGCTATAGAGAAAAAAAGAGAAAACGTTTATTGGTAAAGAGCTAGATCTAAATCAGTTACATGCGAAGTAGAAGAAAAAGAAAAAAATTCAACTCATCTCTTGACGATTACGAGTTATCTTAATTCCGGTCGGCGACAGACTAGCCAAAAAATTGCCACTAATATGCAATAAAATAAGGAATATATTATTATAAACATCAATAAATATAACGATACTTACTTATTTTGTAAATTCTTCACCTTGGTCCCTTGAGTTCCCTAAGCATTTTAGGGTCACTTTTATATCTTTCGAATTTTTTGTTCAATTCGCCTTAAATACTTTCTCAAAAGTCACCTTTTTCGAGTATTCAATATTCTTAAACTTAAAAATAGTACCATAGTGGAACTTTGGATTCACGAGTCCTGTTTATCATTTTATAAGTTAATCCACGCTCCACATTTCACTTCTAGAAGTTGACTTTCTTTCTAATGATCTATTAAAATCTAAAAGCGATCCGTCATATTTATTTAAATTTCTGTATTTTATTCCAAGAATCATTAATGCATTAGCATTATCTGGTTCTATTATCTGGTTCTTTTTAATGATTTATTGAGATCTGAAAGTGTTTTATTATATTTACTTACATTTTGTAAGCTTCTTTACGAATCCTCAGAGCAGAACCATATTTGGTTTTCTTTTTAGCGATTTATTGCAATCAGAAATTGATTCATAATATTCAATTGGAATTTTGTAAGTTTCTTCACGAATCCTCAAAGCAGAAGTCTTTTCTTTTCTATTTCTATTATTTGTTAAAATCGGAAAGTGATTTGGTTTTATTTCTAGTAACTCACTGATCTAAAAGTAAATCGTTATTTTTATTCAACATTCTGAAATCTTTCCACAAATCTTTACGCAAAAGCATTATTATTCGGTTCTGTTTCTAGTGATTATGATGGAGGATTTCGTAAGATAAAGCTAGATGAGATTTTATTTCCTACAAAAACTAGCAAAGTTTCAAAAACACTTATTTCATAAACTCGTCATAACAAATTCAAAAATCTTGTGATTGGCGGTTTCTCACTAAGATATTTTTAAACTATTTAACTAAACTCAAACATTACTAACATATTAATCTTTCAGAGACAATGAATTGCTGTTTGTCTTTATTTGAGGTGAAATTTTACATCGCCTATATAAATGTTTCAACTAGATAGGAATAACACTATAGTCTCGAATATATAAATAAAATAGAATGGATAATGCTATAAAGTAAATATATGCTATAAACTAAAAAAACGCTATAAACTAAATAATAATATAGACCAAATTTAATCGATACCAAATCTCGATTTCGTCACTCTCACCAAATCCTATTTCAAAATTTCCGGTATGATCCCTTTCACTTACTATACAGTATTGAGATCAGAAAGTTATTTGTAATATACTCAGCTTTCTGTAAATTTCCCTAATGCATCGGCGTTATTTTGTTTTATTTCTAAATATCTATCAGATTCAAAGTGATTTGTTGTACTTACTTAACATTCTGTTAGTTTCTTCACGAATCCTCAATGCATCGGCATTATTCGGTTCTATTTCTAGTGATTTATTAAGATCTGAAAGTGATTCATTATATTTATTCAACACTCTGTAAGTTATTCCACGAATGATCAATGTGTCGACATTGTTTGGTTCTATTTCTAGGGATCTATTAAGATCCAAAAGTGATTTATTGTAATTCTTTAATCTTAAGTAAGTGTCTCCACGAATCCTCAATGTTTCGGCATTATTTGGTTCTATTTCTAGTGATTTATCAAAATCTGAAAGAGATTCATTATATTTATTCAACATTCTGTAGGTTTGTCCACGAATTCTCAATGTGTCGGCATTGTTTGGTTCTATTTCTAGTGATTTATTAAGATCCGAAATAGATTCGTTATATTTTTTCAACATTCCGTAGGTTGTTCCACGAATGAACAATGTGTCAGCATTGCTTGGTTCTATTTCTAGGGATTTATTAAGATCTGAAAGAGATTTATTGTAATTATTTAATCTTAAGTAAGTGTCTCCACGAATCCTCAATGTTTCGGCATTATTTGGTTCTATTTCTAGTGATTTATCAAA